CTTTTGTTTCTTTTTTTCTGACAGCAAAGTTTGTCCAACATCGATCAGCTTTAAAGATAAAGAGGCACAGACTTTGTACCTAAGAGTCCTAGCTTTTCATCGAGATACAAAAACCTCAACAATGTAGCATGTTGTCATTAGTGCATGGAACCTTTATCAGCAGTCTTTATTCTAGGTATTTGATTTAACACGAAATAAAGATCTCATCTTCATTCCTGTAAGTGCGACTTCTCTATCTCTTAAAATGTCAACATATTTTTGGTTTTCTGTCTTCGTCGACTTCTTTCCTGATAGTATCGCCCGACAAATCTGCGAACAGTGCCTGCCCGCCTCCCGTTAGATTGCCTTTTGTCGGGGGAAACCCGAGCCTCCGTCGCTGATTTGTCTCTAATTTGATGACTTCAAGCATGTTAGATTCATCTGAGGAATTTGGGTATTTCATCAGAGGCAATCGTGCCTCAGAGGAAAGCTGAAGTTAGTTTCTATTCTAAAAATAAATAGGTGTCATAGGTTATAAGTCTTTATAGATTTAACAAGTTTAAAGGTTATTAATTTTTTCAGTGTATTTTAGAATGGGAAGTTAGACCAATCGTACATAACGGATAAAAAAATCTGCACTTATATTTCTTACGGACGTAGATACTTCACGTACAGTTTTTACAATATTTATAAATATCCGGGAAAATGCATTCCGCAGCTAGAAATAACACAACAGAAATATTATCAAACAGTTACTCTAAAAACTTATTTTATTTCCTTTATTTCATAGATTAATTAAAAAGAATGTGTCACAATAGAAAGAAAGTCATAATTCAAATATTATAAGAAAGGAAATCACAAACTCGAAACACAGTACAACTATCAACCAAGTGCAAGCCCTCAAAGTCTCCTATAACAGAGATCTTCAGCCTACTGATAGTGGTCACTCAAATTTAAACTCTCATCCTGAAATAAATGCGTGATTATAATTATACTGTGTACTTTTAAATTTTTTTACTTATTCTGTCATTTTTCATTATAACAACGCTCTGTGCTCAAGAACCCCGTAAGAGTTCTTGAGTGGTCAATTTTCAAGTCACGTGATGTGTTAAGAATAAAAATTTGGCAGACTGACACTATATGAGAGAAGCATCTTGACTTTCTTTGAAGAAGTCTGGGTGAACTATGGCTTGTTGAAGTAGGTTCTCCTATGCTTGGCGCGTCTAGTTATGTCGGCTTTATTAGAAACGGATCTTTATACTAGTATTCTACTGAACACCTTGAATAACAAATTTAAAGGAAAATTTGTACATTGTACCAATTTTGAAGTTTCAAATCTTTGTTTGAAAATGGTTGTTCAGTTCGAATAGAATTCTGAACATATATATTCAGGGCCTGCATGTCAATCTAAATCTTTCTGTCTGTCCCTGAAAATAACATATGCAAGTATTTACCGAAAAAATTAAACTAATTGCATGCAAATTAAAATAATGAAAACAGATGTGTGCAGTACATTGTGAATTGCTATGATAAAGGGATGCGCCGCAGTCACGGACGAAAATAATAATAGCCAAGTTTGTTTTATTTTATAATCCTTGAATTCCTTCATAATCACCAGTAAGTTTACCACAAAGATAATTTCATTAATATGAGCTTTTACGATCACGGTTCCTGCTATTTAAAGCGATGGCAGAAAATGTACCTTATTGAACCGTTCTAAATCTAGTTGATAAATTTCTTAGCTTAAAATTTGCATTTCGTTTTCATCACAATTATAAACATTGTAAATTAATTCTTTAAAAAAATCTCATTGTAAATGACAAAGTCTTTTAGGCATTTTTTTCATTGGATGCAGAGAAATATTTTATAAAAATCGAGAGTAATTCTGAGCCCACTCATTACTCTTGATCAAGCATGTATACTATGTACATGTACATGTATTAAAGATCTTAACATTAAACAGACTGGAAACTAATCCATAATTCAATGCACTTGCTTGATAATTCAGTACATTCTCTTTATGACATTTTTTTAAACATAACACCATCCTTGATTTATAGCTGCATTCGAAAACATAGGTTTATTAATTTAATTATGATGAATCTTTTCTTATTTGGAACAAGTGACAGTTGCTCTTTCAGGTTCTCCCCTAAATAAAGATTTATGTTTTCGCATTTCTCTGCATACTTGGTACATGTAAATACGTATCCTTGCATAAAAAATCGATTTGTTACTTATATGTAATATGGTGCGTTAAACTTATTCTTGATATTGAATGATTCTTTTTTTCAATAAAAAGGTTATATATACTAATTTTTTTTTACCTGTTCATTTTGTCAACAACGTGACTATATATGCTGATGTGCGAATTGTATGACTTCTCCATCTTAGATATTTATGACCGAATTCTGAAGTAAAAACATTATAAACTCACGTGAATTTCTGTAACGCATTTCACCTCATGTAGAATGGAATTAAATTTCGGAATCTGGCCACCCGCCTGTTGTGTGGGACGCTTGGATGAACATCTCTCAAAGAATCTCTGACCTCTTTATGGGGACAATTTCTTAACGAGGAAAAAATAGTATCAATGGACAGTATTAATTCAGAAGGTTAAGAACATGCTAAATGGGCTTGTAATAAAACCCTTGTACATCACGCCGTTCTAACTGAAAAGCAGAAGCGAACCAGAGGTTATGATCAAGCAAGCACCCATATCAGAGGAAAAAAGTCATTTATTGTTCGATCTCATATTCATTACAACGTGTGCACATATGACAAAAGCATCAAAGAGTCGGGGTCTCATCGCCAGAGGAATGCACTCTCTCACAGTCTGATGTGGGATATCGCCAGCGATGGACCGAGTTTGCTCCATTTCACTCATTAGGACGTTAATAAAGCAAGTCAATGATTTTCATTGGAATTCAAGTCCTAGTTTCAATTTCTGTTCCGGGTAACTTTCTCATTAAAGGAGCTATGTCAGGGCTCCCATCCTTGATAAATACACGGAATTTATTTATCAAGTACCATTCATCATGGGTATCTGGTTTCCAAAAGGTGCACCGCAAAAAAAAAACCAAAAAAAAAAAACTGTTAGCGACAGGTGCAAGTTTCATTTGCTGCATAGTATAGCCTGCTTGTGTTCTACTTTTATAAGGACCAGTTGTGTGTCTTGTCCATCATGATTGGAATCCCCCTTTATATATATATATATATATATATATATATATATATATATATATATATATATATATATATATATATATATGATACATTTTAATGAGAAGCTTTATACTGAATACCAATTAACTTGGAATCAAAGCCACAGTTATTTTAAATATCTACACCATAAACGTGTGAAACTCGATTAGATATCTAGTATATTCGCCATGTTACATAACACGAAGATGTTAAATGCAAAGGAAAGGCAGACTGTTACGTGCAATGTCCTTGGTTCCGCCGTAATTGGTCCAGGAACACCATAAAAGCGAAAAAACTTTCATATCGCGTAAATAAAGCCGTTAAGATAAGCGTTTGTGTGATTTACTGTGTATATCATATGTATGCTTTGTAATTTTCAGTGTGTAAAAATATACTTAACACTTGTTACTCGATCACTTAAAAAAGGAAAAACGACGAAAAAATGTTTTCGTAGGCCGCCATAAAAAGACCATAACTATGTCATATCTCATTCGCATTACTTCAAGCCTAAAATAACTTAGGTTTATTTAACAAATCATACAATATATTTTAATAAGAAAATGGATACGTAAAATTTCAGTTTGGTTATATACACGATGACAGATATGATTGTATTTGATTATCTATGAAGTCTTCCTTCGTGTAGCTAGAGGAGTACCTTATATAATTTGACTGTGTATTTGTTTACAGGCACTGTCTATAAGGATCATATGTATATCCTACTTTGGTATATCCTTGTCATGTCGGAAACAGATGATATCAAAGGGCGTCTACAGTAGATGCAATCTTTCAGGATGTGTGAATTTCATTAAAATTTATATATATATATATATATATATATATATATATATATATATATATATATATATATATATATATATATATATATATATCTTTTCACTGACATGGAAAAAATGACATTGAACATGATGCTTAAAGAAGTGAACGAAGACTTTCATCTTCCAAAGAAAGTCATCTTCCAAAGAAAGTCACAGTTGAACCATGAATCCGAATACATTGTAATATTGTTCGTCTTCGTGACGATAATCTCTTAAATAAATGTCCATTTTATGCACTTCAGTACTTCTCAAGGTAATAAAGATTCGTCCACACGATCTGTCATAATTTTCTCAAGTCATTAACATTTTGGTAATTAATGCATTCTTGGATTATTTTCCTGTATAGTATCTATGACCTATCCCCAAGTTTAATTTAGTATGTTAGTATTGCGGAAACTGGCATTATTATGTTAATTATAACCTACGATCTTAGTACACTGTGGAATGTCGTCTTCTAAAAAAAATTGTAAAAACCTTGCGTCATTCATAAAGTTAAAGCAAACGACCAAAATCTAAGAGAGAGGTGGATGATATTTTTATCTGTGGCCTCTGTCCTGTCATTGATGATCAGGGCAGTTCACTTGGTACGAAATAATGTAAAACTATTCCTCCTCGACTTCTAATTTAAACAAGCAGGTGTTGTAATATCATATGATAACTGTTTGCATATAAATGTAGATTATTCCAGGTTTTCTTGACTTTCCACGTTTCAGGTCATCGTGATAAAGTTGGACAACTCTGGTTTTATATTTCTCTTGTAAAGGTGTCAAAACTCATTTTTCCTTGTCATCTTGTTTTTTGACATTCTGTAATGTTTATCTTATTTTATCTCACCAATTAAAAGAATAAATCAATTGGTTGGTGCGATTAGGACATACAGAGTATTCCAGATAATGTAATATGGTATTTTAAGTATCGATAAAATGAATAAAATTGGATTTCTGAAATTGCTTATGTCCCCTTTTTTGTCGACAATTTCAGATAGTAAGGTAGAGGACATCTATTTTCAAGAATGATTATCAAAAATTCTCGGTATGGCAGCAGTAGCGGGCATGGGGACTTTAATGTGTTTTCAGAAGAAGAAATTAACCCAAAGAAAGCATGTGAAAGTCGGAATAATTCTGACTTATAATTTATGGCGGAAAAACTCACCTTGATCCTGTCCTGTGGCTAGCAGACGAACAGAGAAAATATACCTTGGCAATCCATTATAGCAAGAATTAAGGATGACATTTAGAACAGATGCTAGTTTTATTCAAATATTTGGCCGAGTTTTCTTTAATAAATGATTATGCACATTAAAGTTTCCAATAAAATTACAAATATGGAAAGGAATTTTTTTAATGGACTTCATTAATTTTTGCGATAAGACACTGTATGAAAGGGATGTTACATTAAAATACATAACACTATGCAAGCTGTTCGAGTGCCTCGCAGAGTGTTTATAGTGGGTGTTGGGTAGGTCTCAGATTTAGTTTCGCTTTCTTTGCGTATGTCTATTCGAACGCCTTCTTTTCTTGGAAAGGGGGGGGGGTGCTGATATACTAGTAATTTTCTGGCTGTTTAAGAAAATCTGTCACTGTTGTGACTTTTGAACTTATAGGGTGGCAGTAAATTAGAAAATTTTCACCATGACGACTAGTTTTCGTAATTTTATTGTTGTATCTAATTAATTAGAACATTGCAAATCCTCTTAACTTCCTAATGGTCATGGATATTCAAGGGAAGGAGATATTGAAAATTGAGACAATATTCCTGTCTAATAATTATAGTCTGTTTTCATGTATTCTATGGCAAATTCCTTTTAATTACAATGTCATGGTGCAATATTATGACCAATTTTTTCTCCGAAGCATGAAGCTGTTGACCATCTGTTGAGTGCCATCTTGACCCCCGGACAACCAGGTGATCTGGGGACAGCAATCGTCGGCACCGTCCTAGGATTACCTTAAACCACCAACCGCTGTCTTCTGTCCTTGGAAACACTTCGCTGCGTTTTCTCCTGTCCGAACACATATAATATTCAAATTTGACAAATTGTTCATGAATATATTTGCGGTAAAACAAATATAACTTTGGCATATTTAACAACATTGAATGCATCGATGACTGAGCTTCAAAAGAGCCATGCTGAATAATTCTGACAGGACGGCGTGATAGAAGATGTTTTCTGTGACCTTGTGACCCCAAGCCAAAATAAATGACGCTCATCAACAAAGGCCAGGAATTATATGAATTTTGATTCAAAAATACCTACACTTAAATTTCAACCTTCTTGGAAACACTATGTGACTCATTAAGGCGTGAAGTACATATTACATGTGATTTTTTTGTGCAATGGAATAATCTAGTGGGAGATATATAAAACTCCCGAGATATTTGTCGAAAGCACTTATATTCCTACGTGCCAAGAAACGTAGAATTTTCAGAAATAGTAAAATTTCTTTTGATACTGTTTATAATTAATATGGGAACAAGTGCACTTGTATGGTCGAACATTTCCTTTCAATACAGGATGTAATGCATGATTAAGCAATATAAGAGATTGAAGTCCACTGTGTAAAAATTTTGTGAGAGACGTCAACATTCTTTGCATTCTCTTTGCAACGAGCAGCCCATAAATCCGTGACGTATACACACTTTGTCAAACCATAGTAAAAACGCCCTAGCCTAAAAACTGAAGATGTTCAAATTAAATTACAGAGTTTTTGTCGAGCCATAAAAGCTGAATTGCCTCATAATACGTAATGTCCCGATCCATCAAGGTTTTTTTCTGTTTGAAATATGTGTGAAGGTCACTGCGGGGTCAAGCGAGGCCGACAGAACACTAAAGACATACTTGGGTGTTGCAACGCCTGTTTAATACAAACTATACAAAATAAATAAATAAATAAATCAGAATTTAATAAGACAAGAATTGCACAAAAAACTCTAGTTGTTGGCATTTTTATCAGAGCAGGTAAAAATGCGAGTCACGTGACATTTAAAGATTAAGAAAACTTTATGGCAATTAACTTCCCGTTTGTGTAAAGAAAATATGAAGTGATATTGTGTAATATAATATATGTTTACCATGAGCTCAAGTTTATCTGATTTACTAATTTGTTAACCAAGAGGCGAGTATATTAAAATTTTCAACAGACAGTGATTGTAATAGGAATTTTTCGAATATCTGTAGAGAAACTTTGACTGTAATTTTAAATTATTCCTTGGTTAAAAAAAAAATCAATATTTTTTATTAACTGTTTTTGCGTCTTAAATATGGTATACCGAAAGTCACACAGAGTTAGTGACCAACTTAAAACAAATCCTTCGTAAACCAATACATGTACATCAGCCAGACAGGTGCGCAAAATATATATGTAGACAAAGAGATAAATATAGGATCTCCCAAGATTTGTAGTTGGATATGATTTTTATCCAACGAGTTGTGTGTTTTTTATCCCCGAGCCTTGGCGAGGGGATAAAAAACACACAACGAGTTGGATAAATGTCATATCCAACTACAAATCATGGGAGATTCTTTTTATCCCATGTTTAATACTTCACAACCAATGTTTTACACTGTTTTATATAGGACTCCACTTTATTTTACTTCATCACGCTAACGCAAAAACCATTGTGACGTCACAACTGTGGGTTATGAAAAAAATATCCAATGAGTCATATCCACGGGATAAAGGGGTAAACATGGGATAAAAATAGATACAGTATTCTGGTACCTATCTCTGACTGGATATAGCTAGATCTTCAGACACTAAGAAAAATTCATCAAATATGTCTGTACTCTAATTTCAGACACCATCTATTTAATAGGGTGGGCATACCTGTGGTGAAAACCTGAAAATTCCGGAACCACATATTATATATTCATAATTAGTCATTCAATTTTACAGATGGTTAGTAAAGATTAATTGATATTTCTGATAATGGTATGCAAGTATAGCACCTCCTTTTTTTGTCTGGCTGTCGGGAAAAAAGACATGGAATTGTTAAAAAATAAAAAGCAATATGATGCAGTGCAATAAAGCAATGTAATGAGTTTTCATACACTCATCTATTCCTTAAAAAGCTATTTAAAATGTTGAGTTCATTATTGTTTAATTAAGCCTGTAGCATAGATTGTATTCTGTTATAGGGAAACTTAAAAACTATTTTCTGAAATATTTGCTTAATTCAAATAAAGAATTATTACCATTGTTTATAGTATTCCTTTATTAATGCTGTTTTGCATGAAAACTGACTATTTATAAGATTACCTGGGTAAAATTAATATTCAAATCTTGCTTTCTTCAAAGAGACTTATTTTTTTTTCTGTAAGTGATACCATAAACCTAGAGCAACCAGATTCTACAAGTAAAAAAGAATTTTTTTTCTGATAACCATATCAAAGAATTAAATTCGTGTTAAATATGAAAAAGAATAAAGCTAAATTACAGAAAACTTGTAAATCAAAGGCTCATGATTTAATTCGACAGATCCCCAGGATGGGCTCGGAATACAGTGAAAATCTAAACCCTTGCAGTCATTACTACAACCAAAATGTTTATTTTGCCACATGTACGAGCTCTTGAGATTTTGTAAGTCAAGATTTCAACCTTTATTTGGTTTTAGAGGCGGGAATCCAAGGAATGTCTTTTATATCTCCTCGTATGAGCATTCAATTAGTTCTTTCGGGCCTTTTCTCGCCATATTATACTAATACGATCGGTTTTGCTATCTGACCCCCTCCATGTAAAAAATGCAAGAGAATTTCTAAACAAGATTTTAAATCTTAACATAAATTTCTATTGGTGAACTTTGCAACTTGTAGAGATAAAACCCGAAAGATGAATATGCTAAAAGGTGAACCAGATAGTATTAAGTTTTCCGGATTTAGAATTGAGACTCATCCACGTTATGTGACATGCTACGTAACAAACTAATGCGGACTGGCTCAGACCGTCCGTTGCCAACCATCCCAGACCGACCGATTCCGTAGAGATTACATATGACCCTTGACTTCTTATTTTCTCTCCAAGATCTTACGTTCTCTGAGACAAGAGGAGCCAGTCGTTTTAATTTGTTTCGGTCATTCACGTAGGAAGGTTGGAATTTAAAGCAACTTGACGGGAAAAATATAACCCTTTTCCTGCTAAAAATATACATGTACGTCACAAATCTTAGGCAAAAATAAACAAAGTACTATAATTGATTTATTCTGTACATCTCAAGGGACAATTATCATTACCCATATTAACTGCCACTCTATGTTCGTCAAAAGTAGCATCAAAAGAATTTTGACTTGAATGTAGAATTCGATGTCCGCACATCTGAAGTCGATGTTTAGCACATTCTTGTCATCCATTTAAGTACTGTGTAATACACAGTTTTAACGCCATTTTGAACACTTGCGAGGTTACCACCATGTTTTATAGTGTTATAAGCGGCCAACATAACGCCTACGTCAGAGGTAAGATGACCAGTTTACGTTTCAGGGTCAGAACTTTTTACATTCTTGTTCAAGTGGACAGTCTGATTGGGGCTATAAATTGTGACCGCAGACAGACTATCGGGTATGGGGACTGGTAATTACGGTCTCTTGTGATGTTTCAGTGAATTTCAAAATAACGAATTACACGGTCATGTGTTGATAAGTAGATGGTATTGTTACAAAAATCATGAAACATGGAGGTAGAGTACATCCAAGTGAACTTAAGACATCTTTATTAACCAAGCTTCAAGGAGAAGAGACCAGTTTAACCATGTCTAAAGTTAACATAGGTCAGTCCATTTTCGCATTTGACATCCCTGCAACACTATGACCACCAGCGATTTGAGATTCAATGTATAGGCTGAATTGAACAACACAGGCTCACTGTGTGAACTAAGTTTATTCATCGCCCCAGAAACTAATTCTAAACAGCTACAAGAGTTATGCTTATCCGATGCTTTTTTTTTTAATAGAGAAAGAACAAAAATCCGGAAGCGTGAATCAGAAATTGCCACCCAGTGCTAGAAAGCAAGATTAAAAGCTTGCA